TCCCAAATCTTGTGGGGGGGGGGGCGTCTGATACAAAAACCTGTAACAACTGGCTGTAAACTAGTACAATGCTCCTGCATAAATAACAATAGAAAATGGGCCCAAAACTTTCCTTTTTTGTTGTATTATAGTCATACCTTCATACCCAAAGAACGTCACTTACAAAAAAATGCCATCTAAAAGACAAAACAGGGTAACATGGTAGCTATCTCCTCCCTTGTCGAACGCTCCTCCGACTGCGATCACACCTAGATCCTGGCATCTCACAAAGAAATAGTATAACGAGGTGTACACAAAAAATGGTCCCAGTAAGTAAAACCCTCTATCTGTCTTCAACCGATAGTACTTACGTTAATTCTTCCTCACTCTTTCTGTTGTTTCCTACTAAACGCATGGCCTCAATCTTACCGAAGGTACGGCTGGATGGCGTTCACAACAGCACCATCTCACTCTTCCTAACTATCGGTGGTAATTCCACAACACCAACCCGTTCTATGACTACCAAGTGGGGATCCAAGCACCTACCCGGTTTTTTTGATTTTTTTTTCGTAACTATCGGTTAGACACCAAGTCACCTACCCGTTCCTTTCATGACTTTCGGGTAACGATCACCAAGCATTAAACCGCTCCGAATCACTGTCGGTGAGATCCAACGCATCACCCATCTCTAATAAACAGCGGGTGATGTATCATAAACATCACCCCTTTTCTAATAACTACCCGGTGATGGTCACAAAGCATCCACCCGTTCCTAATATCTATCAGGTGATGATCACAAAGCATCAACCCTTTCTAATGGCTATTCGGGTGGTGATCAACAAAGCACAACCGATTCTCATAACTTTTGGTGTGATGTCACAAAGCCACACCCATTTCTAAGTACGTCTTCTTATCACTCAAGAAAATAAAAAAATATCTACCTCTACTCATTCTCTCTACCCTTACCCTTTAGAGATGTTGCATCCACAAAGTTCCTACTCATAAGACGAAGTGCTAATACACAAAGTTTTCCTACTCTTTCTTAGGTCACTTTCTCAATGCACATTATTGCCTAGATGATGGTTCATCTCGCACAATGCACTATGAATGCCAACTGCAATGTTGCAAGATTAAGTTCACTACTCATAGCTCAACCCCTATAAAGGCGCATTTCATCAAACAACTCAGTGCATAATAAAACTCTATTGATAACAATAATTCAATCTTTCTCTAACCTCCAAAATGCGAAATCCCCTCACAGAGCCACATAACCTCCCAAGAATACACTTCCAAAAGGATTCCTCAATTCCCTTCATTCCATCTGCACACTACCTTGCAACCCACTTGCCTTCTTATATTTGCAATGATGAACAGTCACAAGTGGCACTAGAACATCTCTATTTAAGCTCAATACACATGCATATAACTGTATCTTCACTACATACAAGTGGCTATCAAAAGACCCAATAAAAAAATTCCCCAAATCTCAACTTAGGTTTGGGGTTTACTTGGACCCTTGTATGGGAGATTTCCTTAACCTCTTCCTTTCACTTGTTTGCATTGACCTTTCTGGCTCTACTCTTCCAACAAAAATCCAAACCCTAATAACCAATATAACAAAAACTCACAAAACTTGCACAAACAAACAAGAATCCTTACCTTAGGATGCCTTAGTCTTATTTTCTACACCAAACACTCCAAAAGCCTTTAAAACTCCTTGATCAAAAGAACGAGAACTTGAGAGGAATCAGAAAAGATAGAAGTGGGAGATTGAGAAGAATAAGTGAGTTTTGCACGATTATTCCTTTTAAGAAATTTAACACAAGCATCCATTTTGCGCCTTAACTCTCTCTTGAATTCTATCTATATCCTTTGATTCCTTACACCACACCCATAGCACCATATGCTCCATGAAAATTTCCTCATTACTCCTCCCTTTTCTGCTAATTACGGGTAGAATGGTCAAATGCCCTTAAGGGAAGAAAATATCTAAAACTTAACAAACATTTTTTGGGTTGGCCTATCGCCACACGAGGAGCTTCTGTTCGCCGCGGGCGAAACTGTCCAGCAGGCTTCCCATGGCTTTCACACCTCTTCGCTCACGCGAAGATTCTCTTCGCCCCGGCGGCTTGGGAACACGAAACTTCTTCATTTTTAACCACTTTCAGGGCAAGTATTCAACATAACACTCATCAAAAGTCAACCAACAATATGAGCTCAAGAACCAACTCAAAGAGAGCAAAAGAAAACAATACGATGTACAATCAAGTGGGGCGTCGAACACTCGTTAAAAATGCTAGGGTGTTGATTTCACCTAGATACGCTAACCCAAATCATAGAATCTATTACCCAAGTTCTAATTCCTTGATTGAAAATCGAATTCCCTAAGTTGTAAAACATACCTTCTCAGGCTAAATTTCCCTACTTATCCCTATCAAGCTTCCGCACCCAACAAAATGAAGATTAATAGTTCAAAGTCTTTTAAGCTTTATGGAATTCTATCTAGATTTCATAGATCGCTAAACCTATCTGTAGTGTTTGCTTAATCTACAGTATTTATCCCAAGAGGTACAATCACAAATCACTTCTCAGTCTCATTGTGAACAACACACATTTGAATGGTGATCAAGCATCCAAAAGTCATTAAGAAAAAGAGATAAATACTCAATCATGAAATTAAAACTCAGAGTAAATCAATTCATATAAATTTGAATCATTGTATCAAGGTTACATCAAACCCTAGCTAAACAACTCACTTCATACTCAAAAACGAAATAAGATAACAAAAACAGACTGAATCAAGATTCATCTTTGAAAAACAAGCAAAAATGGAGAAATCTTCTCTAATTTGAAGCCCAAATCTTCAATCATCTTCTCCTTCCATGAGTTGCCTCCCAAATGACAAACCAAGACTCATTTTCTTTCGTTTTCATGCTAATTTATACCTCTTTCACTTAAGGACCAAGACCTAGTGATAAGAGCTTGAAAGTATATTTTTTTTAGTGATTTAATTGGATTATTTGTGGAAAAATGTGCTTAAATTGTTGAATTTGAATTAATTCTTTCATAAATACCATTTATGGGATCACGAGTGCATTTTCAATTTTTTCAGGCTCAAACAGATATTTGAAGGGAAAAGAATGATGTCGATGGAATTCATGATGAGTAGGAACAAACGGTGCAAGAATCGGAGTTGAAACAACAAAGTTGTGACGCGTCGAAAATACAAAGTAAAATCTGAAAATTCTTCAAGATGAGCATGCTTCACTGTTTGGATCATAACTTGAGCTGTGGAAAGCTTATTTAGAGCGCTACAAAGTTTTTGTTGATTACTTGACCAAATTCTGAAGATCACGGATGCCTTAGACAGGAAGAACGATCATCGCGGCGACGGTTCTCACCGCCGCAGTGATGCATCACGGGCTTATAATGTTAATGTGTTATCCTAATCCGAATCTGAAGGGGCTAAGACATCTACTTTTTCCCTAATTAAGATCAGAACCCTAGGACTATAAAAGAAAGATTTTTGAGAAGTTTTAGGAGCTTTGGAGAGAGAGAAAAAGACGGCTACCAGTTTGGAGATCGGGATTCTGGAAGCTCTTGCTCACCGATTAGAGAAGTTTTTATATTTTTCTTTCTTGAACTCATGTCATTGAATAGAATGATGGATTTTTTTATTGTCATTATGAACTAACTCTGTTTTCTAGGGCTACAGATGTAGCCTAATTTATGAATATGTGTTGACGTTATTATGTTGATTTTTATGTTAAGCATTAATTCTAAGTTTTATTATCGTGTGTAATGCTTTCAATTCTTAAGGACCCGAGAGTTGAATGATTTCATGGGTTGGGTTGAGATCGAGAGATGAAACCTAATTTGTCTAAGGTAATAAAACCATAGATTGAGCAAACACTAGAGATAGGTTACTGCGATCTGTGAGGCTCTGGTAAATTCCATAGAACTTAATGATCTCTTAGCTTCTAAATCCGTTTTAGAGATATCTTAGGTTGTTGCTTAAGGGTTAATTTGCTAATTGTTCGAGAGAAAGTTAGTGGAATTTTAGGGAATTTGGATTTTAGAATATGCTTAGTTAGATTAACCATAATTGTCAATGCATAGGATTAAATTGGTGTGAAATCTATGCCCTAGGTTTAGTCATATTGATCTTTGCTTCAAAGTGTTTACAAATTCTACATTTATTTAGTTTTTAGTTGTTACTTTTACATTAAAGTTATTCTCACAATTCTGGTTTATCAAATAGCAATAGAATATACTATACAGTTGCGAATAGCCTGTCAAGTTTTGGGCGCCGTTGTCGGGGAACTATTTTATTTTACCAATATCAATACGAAAGATTTAGTTACTAGTTTGATTTGTTTTATTATTGTTTACTAATTAATTTTTTTTTTTTTTGTTTTTGTTTTTGTTTCAGCTAGAATCTGGAGAGTTTACGCTCAAGAGGTGGTGGTGATCTTAATTTGCTAGATTTTGAGATCGAGAGAACCGCTAAACAATTGAGGAAAGAAAAGAGGCAAGCTGAATCTGAACAATCAATGGCGAACACAGGAATTGTCAATTCTAATGTGCAAAATCAAGAGAATGAGAATGAGGATACCTTAGGAGGGAATGCAATGGGTGGCGCAGCAGTGGTTCAGAGATCATTGAAGGACTACTCTAGTCCTTCCATTGATGGGTGCTATTCTAGCATCAGAAGACCACCCGTTCAAGCAAATAATTTTGAGATTAAGCCAGCAATTATTGGAATGATTCAGCAGTCAGTCCAATTTGCTGGGTTACCTAATGATGATCCCAACTTGCATATCGCCAATTTTTTGGAGTTATGCGACACATTAAGGCATAATGGAGTATCCGATGACGCAATTAGGCTAAGGCTCTTCCTATTCTCCCTTAGGGATAAAGCTAAAGCTTGGTTGATTTCTTTGCCATCTGGGAGCATCACGACATGGAACGAGTTAGCTCAAGCATTCCTCACTAAATTTTTCCCACCTGCCAAGTCTGCAAAGCTAAGGAATGAAATTTCAAACTTTTACCAACAAGATTCAGAGTCATTGTATGAAGCATGGGAAAGGTATAAGGATCTCTTACTGAGGTGCCCTCGTCATGGTTTACTAATCTAGTCACAAGTGTAAACGTTCTACCAAGGGTTGCTACCAACCATTCAAGCTATGATTGATGCTACAAGTAGGGGAGCCTTGAACAATAAAACACCAGAAGATGCATACAACCTGATTGAGGTGATGGCGAATAAAAACTATATGAGGACTCTAGAAAGGAGATCAGCGGGAGTGCACGAAGTTGACAGTTACACTGTATTGGCTGCTCAACTTACGAACATCCGGAAGCAATTAGGTAATGTGTTGAAAATAAATGCCATTGAATCTTTTTCTCTAACATGTAATCTTTTTGCAGGAAATCATTCCGAAGGACTGCCAAGAAGGGAACTCATTTGCTCAGCCCGAACAAGCCAATTACGTCAATAACTTCCAAAGGGGGCAAGAGAGTCCATATTCCAACACATATAATCCTGCGTGGAGGAAACACCCGAACTTTTCATGGAGCAACAATAATGAGCAAAAGCAAGCTCCTGTTTTTCAATCTTAAGAGCCAAAATCTAATTTAGAGAATGTGTTGACCAAGTTCATTGAAGAGACAAGCAAGAGGTTTGAGAAGAGTGATGTCCTGGCTCAAAATCAATCAGCCTCTATTAGGAACCTTGAGACTCAAATTGGGCAAATTCACAACATTTTAGCGGGAAGAGCTCAACGAGTTTTGCCGAGTGATACAGAGAAGAATCCCAAGGAACAAGTGCATGCAATCACCTTGAGGAGTGGTTGAAGTTTGGAAACTCCAGAGGTGAAAAACCGAGGAAAGAACAAACCCTGAAGAATGAACAGAGGGACGATCGCTGCAGCGATGAGGATGGTATCCGCGGCGAGCGTGATAAAGTGGAAAATTTTGTCAAGGGGAAGGACAATCACCGCGGCAAAGACACTGGTAGCCGTGGCGATGAATCTGGTGGCCACGGTGACCGAACATATGAGCAGAAAACTCCTTCAAGTCAGGAAACCTTGCCGTACCCACAACGGTTGAAGAATCAGAAGCTCGACAAGCAATTCGATAAGTTCATTGACATGTTTCGAAGTTTACATATTAATATCCCTTTTATTGATATGCTAGAATAGATGCTGAAGTATGCAAAAGTTTTGAAAGAGATCCTCACGCACAAGAGGAAATTTGAGGAAGACGAGAAAGTTATGCTAACGAAGGAATGCAGTGTGCTGATTCAAAAGAAACTACCACCTAAACTACGAGATCCAAGAAGTTTTACTATCCCTTGTATTATTGGTAGTTGTTATTTTGATAAAGTGTTATGTGATTTAGGGTCAAGTATTAACTTGATGCCGTTTTCCATTTACAGGAAGCTTGGATTGGGAGAAGTGAAGCCAACCACCATGTCTCTCCAATTAGCTGATTGATCGATAACATATCCTAGGCGGGTGGTCGAAGACGTCCTAATTAAGGTAGACAAACTGATTTTTCTAGTAGATTTCATAGTATTAGACATGGAGGAAGACTGGGAGATACCATTAATTCTAGGACGACCTTTTCTAGCCACGGGGAGAACATTGATAGATGTCCACCAAGGGAAATTAATCTTATGGGTAGAAGATGAGCAAGTAGAATTTGATGTCTTTAAATCTATGAAGAATCTATCTGAAGTATTCTCATGTTTTAAGATTGATGTTCTCGACACCATAGTAGAGCAGAATTTTGAAGAGAGCTACCCAATTATTCCCCTAGAAAATTGTTTGATGAATTCTAGAGATCAGGAGGATGAAGTTGATAGTGAAGAGATATGGGAGTGTTTAAGATACTTAAATGCCTTACCACCTTTGATTCGTCCAGAAGCTAATCTGATTAGAGAAATTGGAGCTGTGGAGCTATGGAGTCTCAGTCAACTTTACCAATCACAAAGGCACCTACACTTGAGCTCAAGCAACTACCATCTCATTTAAGGTACGCATTTTTAGAAGAGGGTAAATTTTTTCCAATCATTATTAATGCTTCTTTGAGTGTTGTAGAGGAAGAAAAGTTGCTTCGCATTTTGAGAAAATACAAGAAGGTCATTGGATGGACAATTGCAGATATCAAAGGTATCAGTCCTTCGATTTGCATGTACAAGATCTTAATGGAAGAAAGTTACAAGCCTACCATCCAACCACAAAGAAGATTGAATCCCTCAATGCAAGAAGTGGTCAAGAAGGAGGTGTTGAAGCTTTTAGATGCAGGAATAATATATCCGATTTCGGATAGTGCATGGGTGAGTCCAGTCCAAGTAGTGCCAAAGAAGGGAGGAATGACAGTGGTCCGTCATGACAACAACGAGTTGATTCTGACACGAACAGTCACGGGATGGAGAGTATGTATCGACTATCGCAAGCTAAATTCCGTGACTCGTAAGGACCATTTTCCATTGCCATTCATTGATCAAATGTAAGAGAGGTTAGCTAGCCATGAGTTATATTGTTTCCTAGACGGATAGTCAGGCTACAACCAAATTGCCATAGTGCCAGAAGATCAAGAAAAGACCACTTTCATGTGCCCATACGGAACATTCACCTATCGAAGAATGTCTTTTGGCTTGTGCAACGCTCTTGCTACTTTTCAACATTGCATGATCTACTTTTTCTGATATGGTTGAGAAGTCCATTGAAGTTTTCATGGACGATTTTTCTGTTTTTGGAAATTCTTTTGATGATTGTTTAACTAACTTATCTAATGTTTTGCAGAGATGTGTTGACACTAACTTGGTGCTAAATTGGGAAAAATGCCATTTCATGGTACAAGATGGGATTGTGTTAGGTCATCGGATATCAGCGAATGGAATTGAGGTGGATCGAGCAAAGATTGAGGTCATTGAGAAACTACCACTTCTAAATCCAGTGAAGGCTATCAGAAGCTTCCTTGGGCATGCGGGTTTTTATAGGAGATTCATATAGGATTTTTCTAAAATCTCTAAGCCTCTCTATGATTTATTAGCTAAGGATGTCCCTTTTAACTTTAGTCAAGAGTGTTTAGATGCATTTAAATGTTTAAAAGCAAAGTTAATATCTACTCCTATTATTGTTGCGCCCGATTGGGAACTACCTTTTGAACTCATGTGTGATGCGAGTGATTATGCTTTAGGGGCTATTTCAGGACAACGAAAAGTTAAGGTTTTGCATGTGATTTATTATGCCAGTAAGACCTTAACGGGACCACAGCTGAATTATGCCACTACTGAGAAAGAAATTTTAGCAGTAGTATTTTCTATTGATAAATTTCGTTCTTATTTGCTAGGTACCAAGGTTATTGTGTACACAGACCATGCCATATTGAAGTACCTCCTAGCAAAACGGGACTCCAAGCCAAGATTATTGCGATGGGTATTGCTCCTACGAGAATTTGACTTGGAGATCAAGGACAAGAAAGGAATGGAAAATCAAGTGGCTGACCATTTATCCCGATTGAGTCCAATGAAGAAGTTCAAGAGGAAGAGAAGCCAATCAATGAATACTTCCCAGATGAGCAACTGTTTGCAATTCAAGAAGGGTCGTGGTTTGCGGATATTGCTAACTATTTGGCGTGAAAGGTTATGCCCCCTGGAATGAACTCCCAGAGACGAAAGAAATTTTTTGCAGATTTAAAGTATTACTTTTGGGAGGATCCATTTTTGTACAAGCATTGCGATCAGATTATAAGATGATGTGTGCCAGAGGAAGAGATGATGAATATACTTCGTCATTGTCATTCAATGGAAGTTGGTGGTCATTTCGGCTCGACAAGACTGCCGCTAAAGTTCTTCAATCGCTGGCCCACTCTTTTTAAAGATGTTTTTTGTTTTGTTATGAGTTGTGATGAGTGTCAACGAGTTGGGAATATATCTAGGAGAAATGCCATGCCTTTAAATAATATGCTAGAAGTAGAATTGTTTGATGTTTAGGGGATAGATTTTATGGGACCTTTTCCTTCTTCATTTTCTAACCGTTTCATTTTGGTTGCTGTAGATTATGTTTCGAAATGGGTGGAAGCTGTTGTGTTGCCAACAAACGATGCTCGCGTAGTTATCAAGTTCGTAAAGAATAATATCTTTTCAAGGTTTGGCACGCCAAGGTCTATTATCAGCGATGGTGGTTCTCACTTCTGCAATTGCCAATTCGCAACATTGTTAAGCAAGTATGGGGTTACACATTGAGTTGCCACCCCATATCACCCACAAACTAGTGGCCAAGTCGAAATATCCAATAGGGAGCTGAAACAAATCTTGAAAGACAGTAAGCACCTTTCGAAAGGATTGGGCAACTAAGCTTGATGATGCACTATGGGCATATAGGACGACATTCAAAACACCAATAGGAATGTCGCCCTATAAGATGGTTTACGAAAAAGCTTGTCACTTACCAGTAGAGTTAGAGCACAGGTCATATTGGGTAGTAAAGTTTCTGAATTTTGATCTACAAGCCGTAAGAGCAAAACGATTACTGCAACTCAATGAGACGGAAGAGTTTCGCAATAATGCATACGAGAATTCCTGAATCTACAAAGAAAAGACTGAGCAATGGCATGACAAACACATTGTGAACAAGGAATTCAGGGAGGGTGACAAAGTGCTGTTATTCAACTCAAGATTGCCACTTTTTTCGGGAAAATTGTGCTCAAGATGGTTTGGCCCATTCATCATTTATCGCGTGTTTTCGCATGGGGCGATAGAGCTTCACCACTCGACGAAGGGAACATTCAAAGTCAACGGCCAATGATTGAAACCTTATGTTGAGAATGGGAATGAAGACGAGAGGGTTTCAATTCTTCTTCAAAATCCTAATTGATGACAGAAAGGAGTCGAGCTTAAGACTTTAAACAAGCCCTTTTTGGGAGGCAACCCAAGATTTCGATTCTGTTTTGTTTTTATTTAATTTTATTGTCATGTGTATTAATTTTTCTGTTTAGCAATTTTTGTGTGTTATGTTTTTACATTATTTTTAGTTCGTTAATTCAGATGTCCGGATTGTGTTTCAGCTTATTGACAAAACACACTCAGGGAACATTCAGAAGGCCCCATCACGCTCG